AAAAAAAAAAAAAAAAAAAGGCCCAATACAGTGGCTCATGTCTGTAATCCCAGCACTCTGGGAGGCTGAGGTGGGTGGACTGCTTGAGCTCAGGAGTTACAGACCAGCCTAGCCAACATGGCGAAATCCCATCTCTACTAAAAATACAAAAATTAGCCAGGCATGGTGGTGTGTGCCTGTAGTCCCGGCTACTTGGGAGGCTGAGGTGGGAGGACTGATGCCCAGGAGGCTGAGGCTGCACTGGGCCGAGATCGTAACACTGCACTCTGGCCAGGGCGACAGAAACCCTGTCTTAAAAAAAGAAAAAATTAAAAAATTAGCCAGGCGTGGTGGTGTGTACTTGTAATTCCAGTACTTTGGGAGGCTGAGGTGGGAGGGTGGCTTGGGCCCCTGAGGTGGAGGCTGCAGTGAGCCATGATCACGCCACTGTACTCCAGCCTGGGCAACACAGCAAGACCCTATCTCAAAAAATAAAAAATAAAAAAAGATGATCTTAAAAAACTCCAGGCTGAGCACGGTGGCTCACGCCTGTAATCCCAGCACTTTGGGAGGCCGAGGTGGATAGATTACCTGAGGTCAGGAGTTCAAGACCAGCTTGGCCAACGTGGAAAAACCCCGTCTCTACTAAAAAAAAATATATATATATATACACACACACACACACACACACGTATATATGTATGTGTATATATACGTATATATATGTGTATACATATATACACACACGCAAAAATTAGCTGGGTGTGGTGGCACATGCCTGTAATACTCAGGAGGCTGACGCAGGAGAATTGCTTGAACCCAGGAGGCAGAGGTTGCGGTGAGCAGAGATCATGCCATTGCACTCCAGCCTGGGCAACAGAGCAAGACTCTATCTCAAAGGAAAAAAAAAAAGATGAAAAAAATATTCCATTAAGCCATTCCCGGCATGGACAATGGGACAAGCTGACATGAGCCTCCTAACGAGGTACAATAAAAGGCACCACAAGTGCCCCTGCCAAGAGTATTTAGCCTGCATCTCATCATGAAGAAACAATCAGACAAATTTAAATTGTGGGACATTCACACAAAGACAAAGTCAAGAGAAGATGAAAAAGGCAGGAGGCCTGTTTCAAAAGAGACTAGAAATGTGGCAACCAAACGCAATGTGTGAAAACCTTGATTAGATTTTAGACTTGACTGATTGATTGATTGAGACAAGGTCTTGCTCTGTTGCCCAGGCTGGAGTGCAGTGGTGTGATCATGGCTCACTGTAGCCTTAACTTTCAGGACTCGGATGATCCTCCTGTCTCAGTCTCCCAAGTAGCTGGGACTACAGGTGTGTGCCACCACACCCAGCTAATTGGAAAAAAATATTTTTTTTTTTTGTAGAGACAGGTGTCTCCCTATGTTGCCCAAGCTGGTCTCAAACTCTTGGGCTCAAAAGAGCCTCCTACCTTGGCTTTCCAAAGTGCTGGGATTATAGGCATGAGCCACCTTGCCCAGCCAGATCTTGGACTTTGAATAAAAAAGAGCTTTAAAAGGCATTTTGGGGGCCAGGTGTGGTGGCTCACACCTGTAATCCCAGCACTTTGGGAGGCTGAGGCGGGCAGATCACCTGAGATCAGGAGTTTGAGATCAGCCTGGCCAACATGGTGAAACATCGTCTCTACTAAAAATACAAACATTAGCCGGGCATGGTGGCAGGCACCTGCAATCCCAGCTACATGGGAGGCTGAGACAGAAGAATCGCTTGAACCCAGGAGTCAGAGGTTGCAGAGAGCAGAGATTGTGCCATTGTACTCCAGCCTGGGCGACAAGGGTGAAACTCAGTGTCATAAATAAATAAGTAAGTAAGTAAGTAAATAAATAAAGGTATTTTGGGGGTCAGGCATGGTGGTTTACGCCTGTAATCCCAGCACTTTGGGAGGCTGAGATGGGTGGATCACCTAAGGTTAGGAGTTCGAGATCAGCCTGGCCAACATGGGGAAACCCTGTCTTTACTAAAAATACTAAAATTAGCCGGGCATGGTGGCACACGCCTGTAATCCCAGTTACTCAGGAGTTGGAGGTAGGAAAATGGCTTGAACCTGCGAGGCGGAGGTTGTAGTGAGCTGAGATCATGCCACTGCACTCCAGTCTGGGTGACAGAGACTCCATCCTGGTGCTCCAGCCTGGGTGACAGAGACTCCATCTCAAAAAAAAAAAAAAAAAGGCATCCGGGGACAAGTGGTAAAATTTACAGGTAAGTCACATATTAAATGGCATCATTTTGCTAAATCAATGTTAGCTTTCTTAAGTATGACGATGGTATTGTGGTTATGTGGGAGAATGTTCATGTTCATTCACGGTGCACACTGCAATGTTAGGGGAAACGTGGCTGGGTTTTGCAGCTTACTTTTAAATGAATTTGAAAAAAAGATCTATAAATATATAAGAGAGAATGACAGAACAATTGTGGCTCAATACAGTCATATGTCACGTAATGATGTTTCAGTCAGTGATGGATCGCATATCTCCATGGTGGTCTCATAAGATTATAATGGAGCCGAAAAATTCCCATTGCCTAATATTTACTATATTTTACCTATTTACTTATTTATTTTTCAGAGTCTTGCTGTGTCGCCCAGGCTGGAGTGCAGTGGCGTGATCTCATCTTACTGCAGCCTCAACCTCCCCGGCTCAAGCGATCCTCCCACCTTAGCCTCCCAAGTACCTGGGACCACAGGCACGTGCCATCACACTCAGCTAATTTTTTTATTTGTACAGACAAGGTCTCACTACATTGCCTAGGTTGGTCTGGAACTCGTGGGCTCAAGTGATCCTCCTGCCTTGGCCTCCCAAAGTGCTGGGATTATAGGTGTGAGCCACTGCACCTGGCCATATGCTATACTTTAAATTGTTATTGTAGAGTGTACTCCTTCTACTTATTTAAAAAACAGTTAACTGTGAAACAGCCTCAGGCAGGTTCTTCAGGAGGTATTCCAGGAAAAGGCATTGTTATCACAGGAGATGACAGCTCCACGTGTGTTACTGCCCAGAAGACCTTCCAGTGGGAGAAGAGGTGGACATGGAGACAGTGATATTGATGATCCTGACCCTGTGTAGGCCTAGGCTAATGTGTGTGTTTGTGTCTTAGTTGTAGCAAAAACATTTAAAAAGTCAAAAATAAAAAATAAAAAAAAGGCCAGGCACGGTGGCTCATGCCTGTAATTCCAGCACTTTGGGAGGCTGAGGCGGGCAGATCACTTGAAGTCAGGAGTTCGAGACCAGCCTGGCCAGCCAACATGGTGAAACCCCATCTCTACTAAAAATACAAAAAATTAGCTGGGCGTGGTGGCTCATGCTTGTAATCCCCGCTACCCAGGAGGCTGAGGCAAGAGAATCGCTTGAACCTGGGAGATGGAGGTTGCAGTGAGCTGAAATCACACCACTGCACTCCAGCCTGGGCGAAAGAGGAAGACTGTCCCAAAAAAACCCAAAAACCTTTTTTTTTTTTTTTTTTTCTGAGACGGAGTCTCGCTCTGTCGCCCAGGCTGGAGTGCAGTGGCCGGATCTCAGCTCACTGCAAGCTCCGCCTCCTGGGTTTACGCCATTCTCCTGCCTCAGCCTCCCGAGTAGCTGGGACTACAGGCGCCCGCCACCACGCCCGGCTAGTTTTTTGTATTTTTTAGTAGAGACGGGGTTTCACCGTGTTAGCCAGGATGGTCTCGATCTCCTGACCTCGTGATCCGCCCGTCTCGGCCTTCCAAAGTGCTGGGATTACAGGCTTGAGCCACCGCGCCCGGCCCCAAAAACCTTTTATAGTGTATTTTTACTATACCTTTTCTATGTTTAGATACACAAATACTTACGATTGTGTTGCAGTTGCCTGTAATATTTAGCATAGTAACATGCTGTTTAGGTTTGTAGCCTGGGAGCAATTGGCTACACCACACAGATGAGGTGTGCCGCAGGCTATCCCATCCAGGTTTGTGTACGTATATTGTATGATGCTCATGCCACAACGAAATCATCTCATGACATATTTCCCAGAACATATCCCCATTATTAAGCGGCACATGGCTGTAACAATAATTGGTCCATCTACAGGAAGGGCAGAATGACATTCATTGTACCAACTTTTCTGTATATCAAAATGCAAAATGGCTGGGTTCAGTGGCTCACACCTGTAATCCCAGCACTTTGGGAGGCCGAGGTGGGTGGATCACATGAGGCCAGGAGTTCAAGACCAGCCTGGCCAACATGGTACAACCCCATCTCTACTAAAAATACAAAAATTAGCCAGGAGTGGCTACAGAGTCCCAACTACTCAGGTGGCTGAAGCATGAGAATTGCTTGAACCCAGGAGGCAGAGGCTGCAGTGAGCTGAGATCGAGCTGTTGCACTCCAGCCTGGGTGATAGAGAGAGACTCTGTCTCAATAAAAAAGGAAAAAAAATAAAATAAAAATAAAAAAATAAAAATACTGGGGAGGCCAGGTGCAGTGGCTCACACCTGTAATTCCAACACTGCGGGAGGCTGAGGTAGGAGGATCACTTGAGGCCAGGAGTTTGAGACCAGCCTGGGAAACACAGTGAGATCTTGTCTGTATTTTTTCAAAACATAAAAATAAAAAGAAAAATCTGGGCATAAGTGTTTTTGAAATCCATTGTTTGGAACTCCCTCAGACAGATGGCCTGATGTTTGCATTGATGACAACCCAGTCTCCTCCAGCCTGGCCTGCCCTCTGCACTTCAGATCTAAGTGTCTGGGCCTGCTGGACACCCCTACTTGGCTGTAACACAGACTCCTCCCGTTGGTTCACAGACAAAACTCAGCCTGCTTGCTTCTCCTGGTTCTCTTTTGCTATTTGAAGTCTCCCTTGACTCCTCACTCCCTTTTGCAGCCAAACCAGCACACAAGTGTCTTTTTGCTCCATCGATGGCTGTCTGTCCTCACTGGCTCCCACCCCCTGCCCGGCTCAGACTCTCACCAGGATGACCACAACAGCTCCCTACCTACTGTCTTCTACTTTTCCCATCCATTCGCCAAGGCAACCGGGGGGATTTTTGCAAATAAATAAAAAAAAACCTGACCACATCATTCCCCTGCTTCTCGAGCCTTCAATGCCTCCCCACTGCCTTAGAACAAAGCCCAAATTCCTGAATGTGGCCTCCTACCTTTGGCCTCTGTTCCACTCTCTGCCTGTCACAATGCCACTCCAAGTATTTTCAGCTCCTCAAATATCCAAGGCTCCCTCTTGCCACAGGGGCTATGCACCTGTTGTACCCCCGCCTCTGCCTGGACACCCCGTGCCTGGTTAATGCACCTTTCAGGCTTCACCTGGCTCCTCCGGGAGGATGCTAAAGTGTGAAGTGTTTATAAAGTTGACAGTCCTGTAGCTGCTGATTATAGGTCTTTTTCACCCCACCTCACTGTGACCACCCTGAGGGTGGGGACTGTGTCTGAATTGCATCTGTGTCCACAGCGCCCAGCCCCAGGTCTGGTGCCCATGGAGGAGATGCTTGGGGAATGGTAGCCGGTTCTCTGGACCTAGGAGCTTAAAAGTCAGGGCTCCAGTTCCCGCTCTGCCAAGGATTCTCTCTGCAGAGTCGGGCCTCAGTTTCCCTGTCTGAATAAGGGGTAAGAGCTTCGATCCAGGTGGGCAGGCCCAGTGTAGTCATTCCAGTTCCTGCAGTGCACTATCATGACCACCAGGCGTCACTGCCGGGCCACAGCCAGAACACCCGTCTGCACGCTGCACTAAGGGAGTTGGTTGGTGAAGTGTACATAGGAGCCCTCCGGGACCTTGCCAGCACTGAACCTCATTCCCACCTGTCCCCAACAGAGCTGTTCCCCCAGCCCCCAAAGCCTCATGCAACCCCCAGCCCAGCAGGTCCCCTCCCAGGCAAGCAGCAAGCAGGGGCAGAAATGCAGGTAGAAGAGGGGCAGGAAGGTGGGTGGGCAGGGGCCCTGCTACCTCTTGTGGGGAGCCCACAGGTGGTTCTGGGTTCAAGGACTGGTCTAGGGTGGCCAGGGCATCTTGCCGGGGGTTCTCATGAAGGGAAGGGACTGCCCAATCTCTCCCATCCCTCCTGGGCTGGGTGGTAAATGTGTTCCCAGACCAACGGCCTCTGGGAGAGGCCAGCAAGTAGCCTAGGGGAGGCAGAGGGTCAGGCACGCATGGGTCTAACTGACCCCAGCTCAGTTCATGCCCATACTGGCAGTTTTAAGAGGCTCTGGAGCTACGGAGGATGGGCATGGGGTAGGAGGAGATTCAGGGCAGCAGGGACCAGGAGAGGCTAACTGGAGAGGTAGCAGGTCCCCAGAAGTCATAGGCAGCACAGGGGAAGACTCGTGCAGGGTAGGGGGCTCCCACGGCTGTATCCATCACTGACCCCACAATCAAGAACTGAGAGGGCAAGGCAGGCACGGGGTGCCACCCACATCCTCACTAACTTGTGACTGCCAGGAAGTAGGGTGTCCCATCTAGACTGCATGTGGAGGGGGAGTCACAATACCACCCCCCAAAAAGAGCTCCCTAGTTGTCTCTCTCTTCTGAAGGAGTGCCTGCCTCCACTCTGTCCATTTTCTAGATGTCTCCCCTGTCAGTGATGGCTTCCAGATGCCCGTGTCATGGGGCTTTTGGGTACGGTGTGTTTTAGGGTCCTCATCTTTCTCCCACTTCTCTTGGGTGAGTAGATTTCTAGGTCCTGACCTGAAAATCCCTTCCCTGCAATGATCTCCAATGATTGTGAAGGTTTCTACTTTCTTTTCTTTTTTTTCTTTTCTTTTTTTTTTTTGAGACAGAGTCTCTCTCTGTCGCCCAGGCCAGAGTGCAGTGGCACGATCTCAGCTCACTGTAACCTCTGCCTCCTGGGTTCAAGTGATTCCCCTGCCTCAGCCTCCTGAATAGCTAGGACTACAGGTGCTCACCACCATGTCCAGCTAATTTTTGTATTTTTAGCCCAAAACTTTTAGGCTGATTTTGTATTTTGTATTTTTGTATTTTTTTTTTTTTGTATTTTAGAGATGGGGGTTTTGCCACATTGGCCAGGCTGGTCTCGAACTCCTGACCTCAAGTGATCCACCTGCCTCGGCCTCCCAGAGTACTGGGATTACAGGCATGAGCCACCACACCCTGGACGATTGTGAAGGTTTCTAGGACCCCACATTAATCATGAGATTTTGGGGTATGTGGTTTCTAGTTCCCCCTTCTCGTCCCCCTTCTCATTTACTCTGTCTCCTGTATATGTGAGAGTTTCTAGGCTTCTCTTCTCATCCATCATGGGTCTCCTATGTATGTGATGGTGTCTAGGCCCTTGTGTAAACTATAGGTCCTTTAAGTATAGAGAAGTCTAGGTCACCTGGCCTCATTAACCACGTTAAACGTGTACATAGCAGTTTCGAGGAGTCTCTTCACAGGCTTTGTGCATTTCCAATGTGTATGGTGGTATCTAGTTCCCCATCCCTTTTACCACGTGGCTCCTATGTACCTCGTCATTTCTAGGCCCCTTTCCTAGGTCCCCTATCCCATGCTCCTGTGTAGGTATTGTCTTCGTTCTTCCCTTTGTTCTGCAGACAAGGGAGCAAGCCAAGCCATTGCTGGGAAGGGGCTATGGAGGCAGGGGATGCAGTCTAGCCTGGGTCAGCCCAATCCACCCAGGAGGAACAGGCAGAGCCACCCTGGCCTGGAAAGGCCACAGAGGGAAGGTGGAGACAGGGACAGAGACTGAGACAGAAGGCATGGGGTCTGCTGATAGGGCTGGCCCTGCCCGGTTGGGAGCAACAAGATAGGGGAGGGAGTTGAGGCTGAGAATTGCCAAGGCTTCTGCCTGGGAGACCAGGCTGTAGTGGGGATGTGGATGGGGTGCTCCCACTCCCAGGGCCTCCTGGGGAGGGAATACTCTCTTGAGCACCTAAGGCTGAGAAGGCAGGAAGAGGCCAATGCCAGACCAGAGCTTACCCAGTGGCTCTTCTCACCAGGGTCTCCCTTGGGGCCAGGTTCCCCCTACAAGGGGAGAAAGAGATAGCAGCAGTGAGGAAGGGACGGAGACAGAAAGGGAGGGGGAAAAAAAGAGGGAGGAAAAAGAGAGGGGAGAGGGAGAAAAACTTAAGAGAAACAGACAGAAAGTAGCTTGTATTGGATACAAAGCAAAAACGAACTTCTTGAAGGCAACAGAAAGTAATAAAAAGCAGCCAGACACTGGAGAATATTCAACCCTTAAAATAAGGGAATAGCACTGGGTAAAATCCATATACTTACACCTTTTCCTTAGAGGGTGCACCCCAGCCCTATCAGCCTGGCAGAACAGAGCTTAAGCAGAAAGTTTCAGTTTTATTGGCCTGAGGAGTCAGAGGTTGAGGTTGCCAGAGAAGCAAGCAATTGATGAGAAATACTGGGAAGCAGGGAGCCACAAGTGCGGGAACTAAATCTGTGTAAATGTTCCTTTCTAACACTTGGATGGTTCCTGGATTGTCCTATCACAGGACAACACTCTAAGGAGCCCAGTGGGGGAGAACCAACAGATTGGCAGAACTGACTAAAATTGCCAAAACTTGCCCACCATGTAGGAGACAGAGTTTTGAGTTCAAGTCCAACCAAGTTAGAGGTGCCTGTGAACACCTAAAGCTTTCCAATGAAACTCCAGAACCGCCATGGCTTAGGAATAAAGACTCTATCTCAGGATTAAGGGATTTTTCCTAGGACTAAGAGCAAAACCAGACATTCTCTCTGATAAAGCCTACAAGTTAGCCTCTAAAAGAGCAAGATGACCCATCAATAATTTAACTGTTCTAGAATAAAACTCAACACTCTTCAGGAGATGCTAACAGAATTTAAAGTCTTTTCAACATATTACCTCCTTTGTCCAGTGTGCAACAAAAAATTACTAGACATGAAGACACAGGAAAATGTGACGCATATTGAAGAGAAAAATCAGCCAACAGAAATAGATCCACAGCCAACCTAGATGGTAGAATTAGCAAAGGAGTTTAAAATATCTATGATTAATATGTTAAATAATCTACTGAAATTGATATCATGGGTGATAAGATGGAGAATTTTAGGAGAGATATATACATTGTAAAAAAGAATCAAATGGAAATCCTGGAAGTGAAAATGATAATACTGGAAATAAAAAATTATCAGATGAAATTAATATCAGATTGGACGCAACAGAAGAAGTAAACAATCAACTTGTACGTAGGCCAATGGAATAATTTAAACTAAAGTACAGAGACAGCCTGTAGTCCTAGCACTTTGGGAGGCCAAGGTGGGAGGACAGCTTGAGACCAGGACTTTGGGGCCAACCTGAGCAACATAACAAGACCCATCTCTACTTTAAAATGAAAAAACAAAAACCAAACAAAAAACCAAGCCAGGTGTGGTGGTGGGCACCTGTAGTCCCAGCTACTCAGGAGGCTGAGGTGGGAGGATTGCTTGAGCCTAGGAGCTCAAGACTGCAGTGAGCTGTGATCACGCCATTGCACTCCAGCCTGGGTGACAGAGCAAGACCCTATCTCAAAAAAGTAAAATAAAGAAATATAAAGCACAGAGAGACAAAGATTTTTTTGAAAACGAACAGAACTTCAGTGACTCCTGGGAGAAAATCAGTGGCGTTCCAGAAGGACAGACTGGAGGGCAGAAACGGAAAAAAATGTTTGAGGAAATGTTGACCTTTTTTTTTTTTTTTTCCAAATTTGATTTAAAAACAAAACAAAACAGACTTCTGGGTTCCAACCTGGCATGTAAAGAGCTTAGAAGTTGTTGGTCGGGTGCAGTGGCTCACGCCTGTAATCCTAGCACTTTGGGAGGCCGAGGCAGGTGGATCGTCTGAGGTCAGGAGTTTGAGACCAGCCTGACCAATATGGTGAAATCCCGTCTCTACTAAAAATATGAAAATTAGCCAGGCGTGGTGGCAGGCGCCTGTAATCCCAGCTCCTCTGGAGGCTGAGGCAGGAGAATCGCTTGAACCCGGGAGGCAGGGGTTGCAGTGAGCCGAGATCGTACCATTGCACTCCAGCCTGGGGGACAAGGGCGAGAGTCATCTCAAAAAAAGAAAGACCTTTGAAGTTGTCATTCCATCTTAATAACAAGTAGAAAGTTGAAAAAACTGAAAAATCAACGGCTCTTCTTAGATCTGTTGGAGAAATGAGGCCACAGGCAAACCACTGCCCCCAAAGCTGGAGAGGCAAATCCAGACTATCACAGCTTACTAAAGCAGAAACCCACAAGCACAAACCTCCAGAAGAACCAGGACCAGGAGAAGAAAACCTAAACTGTAATTGATGAACTTCTAGAGGCTCCGTGTAGACAGGTCTTCGGGTTAAAAACTCCAGGGGGACCCAGTCATAGGCCCACATCCCTCCTTTGGTGAGTTTTACCTCAAGGAGCTCTACAAGGCCCTCACAGTGAATATCAGAGAAAAATGCCTTGTCCTTCCAGCAGGGGGAGGAGATGAGGCACCATTTTGAAACAGACCAAAGCATTCTCTTCTGAACAAAGCCTACCTCAGGAGAAACTACTTTACCAGATCCTAACCTGTTGGGATGATCGGACCCAACACCAGCTCATGGGGGCAATAAAGTCCTGCAGAGTCAAAGGAATGGGAAGACAGTTTGAGAGAGAAAGTGGGTCCAGGGGGCCAACACAAGTATGGAGGCTGTGAAGGCCCTGAGCTCTGGGAGCCCACGCTATTTATTGGTGATCAAACAAAGAAACAGGTGGTGAGGATGCAGGGGTTGAGAGAAAGCAATGCATCAAGCACATGATTTACAGCTGTGACAGTTTAGCATTTTCTTTGCAGCATATGGAACATGTTCTGCTACTTAAGGTAATGGGAGTGCTAGAAGCAAGAAGCCAGCAAGTCTAGACACATTCCAGAGGCCACGAGGGGTTTTATGCCCTGAGCCCTGGATTCCATCCAAGTCACGAGGGGTTTTATGCCCTGGGCTTAGACTATGGTGCGGCAGGGTAGCTTTCCACCCTTTAGCACGGAGTTTGGTGTTCCAAAGGCCACAAGGGGTTCTTGACCCTGGACCCCAGACATGTTCCAAGGCTCTTTTATGTTATGTCAGACATGCAAGCCCTGCCTCAGCTTCTCTCCGAAAACTCAGCTTTCCTCCCAACACTAACCACCCTGGAGAAGGTGAAATGCCCACTTCCAGCTCCCTCTAGTTTCCATGTGAAGGAAGGGAAATATCCAACTCTAACCCCCTCTAGACCACCTGTCCCACCTAAGAGGAAAAACAACCCCCAAACAAAAACAAAACAAAACAAAACAAAACAACAACTGAGACACACTGGTGAAGTTCACAGTCCAAGGGTACAAGCTCATCTAAAGACTGAGATCTAGGCTGGGCACAGTGGCTCATACCTACGGTCCTAGCACCTTGGGAGGCCAAGGTGGGTGGACTGCCTGAGTTCAGGAGTTCAAGACCAGCCTGGCCAACATGGTGAAACCTCAACTCTACTAATATACAAAAAAATTAGCCGGGTGTGGTGGTGGGCACCTGTAGTCCCAGCTGCTTGGGAGGTTGATGCATGAGAATCACTTGAACCCAGGAGGCGGAGGTTGCAGTGAGCCAAGATTGAGCCACTGCACTCCAGTGCCTGGGAGACAGAGTGAGACTCTGTCTCAAAAAAAAAAAAAAGACTGAGATCTAATCATAGGACTCCAGAACACTTCCCTTCCCCCATACCTTCTCACTACATTACTAAAGGCCTATCTACTGCAGTTCTTTTGAATAGTACATTATGTCTACCTTCCAGTGAAAAATTACAAGGCACACTAAAAGGCAAAAACACAGTTTGAAGAGATTCAACAAACATCAGAACCAGCATCAGATATGGCAGAAATGTTCAGATTATCAGGCCAGGAATTTTAAAAATCTACGATTAACATGCTAAGGCAATTAATGGAAAAAGTAGACAACCTACAAGAAGAGATGGAGTATAAGCAGAAAGATGGAAATTCTAAGAAAGGCCTGGGTGTGGTGGCTCATGCCTGTAATCTCAACACTTTGGGAGGCTGAGGTGGGTAGACTGCTTAAACTCAAGAGTTTGAGACCAGCCTGGGTAACATGGTAAAACCCTGCCTCTACATTAAAAAAAATAAAAATAAAAAAGAAAAAAAAAAGATATTCTAAGAAATAATTAAAAATAAGTGGTAGAGATAAAAAGCACTGTAACAGAAATAAAGAATGCCTTTGATGGGCTTATTAGTGGACTAGACATGGCTGAGGAAAGAATCTCTAAGCCTGATGATATGACAATGGAAACTTTCAAAACTGAAATGCAAAGAGAAAAAAGGCTGAAATAATAGAACAGAATATCCAAGAACTGTGGGACAACTACAAAAGATGTAAATATGCATAATGGAATGCCAGAAGGAGAAAAGAGAAAGAAACACAAGCAATATTTAAAGTAATGACAGAATTCTCCCCCCAAAAAATGTCAGACACCAAAACCACAGATCTAGGAAGATTAAGGAACACCATATAGGATAAATGCCACAAAATGACACATACGCATATCATATCCAAACTTCAGAAAATCAGGCTGGGTGCAGTGGCTCACACCTGTAATCCCAGCACTTTGGGAGACCAAGGCAAGAGGATCACTAGAGGCCAGAAGGACCAGCCTGGGCAACATAGTGAGACCTTGCTTCTAAAAAAAAAAAAAAAAAAAAATGGTCGGGCGTGGTGGCTCATGCCTGTAATCCCAGCACTTTGGGAGGCTGAGGCGGGTGGATCACCTGAGGTCAGGAGTTTGAGACCAGGCTGGCTAAGATGGTGAAATGCTATCTCTACTAAAAATACAAAAAATTAGCCGGGCGTGGTGGCAGGTGCTTGTAATCCCAGCTACTTGGGAGGCAGAGGCAGGAGAATTGCTTGAACCCAGGAAGCGGAGGTTGCAGTGAGCCAAGATCACGCCATTGCACTCCAGCCTGGGGGACAAGAGTGAGACTTTGTCTCAAAAAAAAAAAAAAAAAATTAGTCAGGTGTGGCACGTGCCAGTAGTCCCAGCTACTCGAGAGGTGGAGGCAGGAGGATCCCTTGAACTCAGAAGGCTGGGTGACAGAGTGAGACCCTGTCTCAATAACAATAATAGTTTTTTAAAAAACTTCAGAGAATCAAAGATAAAAAATACTGAAGAGAAAACAGAAGGAAAAAATATCTTTCTTGCAGAAGAGCAACAATAAGAATTACATCCAACTGTGCAGAAACCATGCAAGCAAGAGAGTGGAGACTAATACACAAAGCATTGAGAGGACAAAAACACATCAACCTAGAAATCTTTACCCTGAAAAATTATTCTTCATAAATGAAAGGGAAATGAAGACTCTCAGACAAACAAAAACTGAGGGAATTTTTGTCACTAGATCTGCCTTGTAGGAAACATTAAAAGAAGTTCTTCAGCAGAGTGCTTATTTTATTTTATGGAATGAAGTGTTGCCCAATTCTAGAATCACAAATAAAGCCAACTGGGAAAAAATAAAAGGAGTTCTTCAGAGAGGACAAAAATTATATGTCAGAAACTCAGATTTTACATAAAGAAAGGAGGAGCAAGGCCGGGCATAGTGGCTCACGCCTGTAACGCCAGCACTCTGGGAGGCTGAGCTGGGTGGATCACCTGAGGTCGGGAGTTCGAGACCAGTCTGGCCAACATGGTGAAACCCTGTCTCTAATAAAAATACAAAAATTAGCCAGGCAGGGTGGCGGGTGCCTGTAGTCCCAGCTATTCGGGAGGCTGAGGCAAGAGAATTGCTTGAACCCGGGAGGCAGAGGTTGCAGTAGCAGAGATTGTACCACTGCACTACAGCCTGGGTGAGACAGCAAGACTCCATCTCAAAAGAAAATAAATAAATAAATAAAGCCAAAAAAAAAAAAAAAAAAAAGAAAAAGAAAAAAAAAAAAAGAAAGAAAAAGTGTGGCAGACAAAAATAGGAACAAAGAACAAGGACAACAAATAGAAAATAGTAGCCAGGCATGGTGGCTCACACCTGTAATTCCAGCACTTTGGGACGCCAAGGCTGGTGGATCACAGGGTTAGGAGTTAAACACCAGTCTGGTCAAGACGGTGAAACCCCATCTCTACTAAAAACACAAAAATTAGCCGGGTGTAGTGGCAGGCACTTGTAATCCCAGCTACTCAGGAGGCTGACGCAGAAGAATTGCTTGAACCCGGGAGGCGGAGTTTGCAGTGAGCTGAGATCAAGCCACTGGACTCCAGCCTGGGTGACAGAACGAGACTCCACCTCAAAAAATAAAAAAGATAAAAGCAAATAGTAATACGATAGCTATTAACCCAACTATATAAATAATCACTTCATTTATTTAGTTATTTTTTATTTTACTGATTGATTTATTTTTTTGAGATGGAGCCTCACTCTGTCGCTCAGGCTGGAGTGCAGTGGCAGGATCTCGGCTCACTGCAACCTCCATCTCCCAGGTTCAAGCGATTTTCCCGTCTCAGCCTCCTGAGTAGCTGGGATTACAGGAGTGCACCACCATACCTGGCTAATTTTTGTGTTTTTAGCAGAGACGGGGTTTCATCATGTTGGCCAGGCTGGTCTCGGACTCCTGACCTCAGGTGATCCACCTGCCTCCGCCTCCCAAAGTGCTGGGATTACAGATGTGAGCCAGTATGCACAGACTATTTAGTTATTTTTTAGAGGCAAGGTCTGGTTCTGTCATTCAGGCTGAAATGCAGTAAAGCAATGATAACTGTCACCTTCAACTCCTGGGCTCAAGCAATCCTCCCAGCTCAGCCTCTCAGGTAGCTGAATCTACAGATGCACACTACTACATCCAGCCAGTTTTAAAATTTGTTTTATAGAAACAGGGTCTCATTTTATTGCCCACCCTGGTCTCAAACTCCTGATTTCAAGTGATCCTCCTGCCTTGCCTCCTGAAGTGCTGGAATTACAAGTGTGGGCCACTATGCTGGGCCTCAATAATCACTTTAAATGTCAATGGCCTAAATACAGCAATTAAAAGATGAGGATTGTTAGAATGGACCAAAAAACAAGACCCAACTATATGTTGTCTACAAGAAACTAACTTTAAATATAACCACAAAACAGGTTAAATGTAAAGGAATGGAAGTTAACTGGGCATGGTGGTACCTGCCTGTGGTCCCAGCTACTCAGGAGGCTGAGGTGTGAGGATTGCCTGAGCCAGGGAAGTTGAGGCTACAGTGAGTGATGATTGCACCACTGCACTCCAACCTAGGTGACAGAGAAAGACCCTGTATCAAAAAAAAAAAAAAAAAAAAAGGAAAGGGATGGAGAAAGATATAGCATGCTAACTCTAATCAAAAGAAAGCAAGAATAGCTTTAATTCTAGAAAGAGAATTAATTTTAGAAAGAGAAGATTTTAAGTCAGGCACGATGGTGCACACCTGTAGTCCCAGATACTTGGGATGCTGAGGCAGGAGGATCACTTAAGGCACTTCATTCACTATGTGCCCAGGAGTTTGAGTCCAGCCTGGGCACACAGGGAAACCCTGTTTCTATAAAAGAAAAAAGGAATAAAAAAGTACTCAATCCAAAAGAAGACAAGAAAAGAGAAGGGAAAAAAGAAACACAAAACAGAAGGAGTAAATAGAACATAAACAGCAAGATGGTTAACTTAAACAGAACCATATCAATTAATTAATCAATTATACATATCATTAAATATAAATTAACTAAACAGTCAAACTGTTTTTAAACAGCAAGACCCAAGTCATATGATGCATTTCTTTTTTTTTGAGACAAACTCTCGCTCTTATTGCTCAGGCTGGAGTGCAATGGCACAATCTCAGCTCACTGCAACCTCTGCCTCCCAGGTTCAAGTGATTCTCCTGCCTCAGCCTCCTGAGTAGCTGGGATTACAGGTGCCTACCACCATACCAGGCTAATTTTTGTATATTTAGTAGAGATGGGGTTTTACCATGTTGACCAGGCTGGTCTTGAACTTCTGACCTCAGGTGATCCACCCGTCTTGGCCTCCCAAATTGCTGGGATTATAGGTGTGAGCCACAGTGCCTGGCCCACACTTTCTTACATTTAAGAAAATTTATATACATATTTTGGAGACAGGATTTTGTCATGTTGCCCAGGCTGGTCTTGAACTCCTGAGCTCAAGCGATTCACCCGCCTTGGCCTCCCAAAGTGCTGGGATTACAGGCGTGAGTCACCACACCCGGCCATGATGCACGTTAAATATAAAGTTACAGGTTGAAAGAAAAAGAATAAAAAAAGATGTAACATGCAAATGCCAAGCATAAGAAAGCTGGTGTGCTATTAAAAGCACACAAAGAAGATTCAAGACAAGTATTATCAGAGATAAAGATATTAACTTCATAAAGGTAAAATGACCAAGGAGACATTAAAAAACTAAATGTGAATGCACCTAATAACAAAGATCCAAAATACATAAAAATCGACCATATTAAAGAGAGAAATGAACAGATCTACAATCAGAATTGGAGAGATAGAGTGTAAATGAAATACAGAGTGAAAGAGACAGACATGCAGAGGGAAAGAGAGAGATACAAGAAACAGAGAGCCAGAGTGAGAGAGACAGAGGCAGCCTGATCCAAAGAGGACAATGAGTCTCAGAGACAGGGAGCATCTGAGAATAAATGACAAAACAGGGAGGATCAGAAGCTCTGGTTGCAGGGGATGGAGTCAGAGGAAGAATCTGGGACTATGGGATCTTGCAGGGATGATTGCAGGACAGACAGCAACACTTACCTGCTGCCCAGCAGAGCCTTGGGGGCCAGGCTCCCCACGCAGTCCCTGTGTAGGAGGAGACAAATGGTGTCAGCTGTTGAGGGCTCTGACCTGGGGCCCTCAGGACTCCCCAGAATTCCCCCACCTGGGGCCACCTGAGTACTCACTCTCTCGCCTTTCTCTCCTGGGTGGCCAGAGATTCCTTTGGGTCCAGTTGGGCCTGGGGGTCCCTGAGCAACAAGACAGGGCCTCAGCCTTGTGTTGGGGCAGGATGGAGCAGGCAGGGGCTTGGGAACAGAGGTGTTGGGGGGGAGGGTGCTCTAGCTTGGTCTGGGCCTCTGGGTTCTTCACCATACACCAAGCACACAGCAATCAGTTCATACAGCTCAGTGTTAAAAGATCTGATCCTAGAGTCAGATAGTCCCACCACAACTCACGGAAGTTGCCATGTGCTGGCCACAGCCCTAGGGCAAGAATCCCCACTTTTCTTGGTTTTAGGTGATAACAATACATGGTTTTCATTACTTGGATTGAATAAGATTTATGGAAGGTAGTTTGCATATTAAGTGCTCAATAAATACTTATTGAATGAATGAATGGAAGGATGAATGGATGGATGGATAGATGGATACAAGGGTGGATGACGGACAGATGTATGGATGTATGGATAGATGGAAAGATGGACAGACACATGGGTGAGAGTACAAGGAGAACTACTCACTATGTGTCCAGGACTCCCAGGGACACCTGTGGGGCCAGGAGGCCCAGGGGGACCTGGAAAAAGACAGGATGTCCTAAGGGCCAGAACAAAGTGCAATCTCAGGAAGTACCCCATCAGCTCCCTCCTGACAGCCCCAAACCCTATTCCCTCTGCCATCTATCAACTCCACCCCTTACCCCAGGCCTGGACTCAACTTACCCATGGGCCCTGGAGGGCCTGGAGGCCCAGTGGGTCCCCGGGGCCAGTGGTTGTTGGTCTCAGTGAAGGTGTTGGACAGCAGTGGGTCTCCTGGGTGAGCAAAGATGATGAGTGAGTAGAGCTGGGTAGAGTGGGGTGGTTAGTCTTCACCTGCCACCTCTGCCAAGACAGCTTGGACTGCCCCATGGGGCAGCCTGCAGCATGGCTGGTACCACCTGGGCACCTGCTCCCAGGGTGAGGAGTGTGGAGAGTATTGGTCTCGCAAGACCAGGAAGCAGGGAGATGTGGGTTCTAACCCCACTGCAACCTAGCTGGTGACATCCAGCAACACTCTCCACTTTTCAGAGCCTGTACTGTCACCTGCCAAATGGGAATGACAATAAAAGAAATCATTTATCCACCACCTACTGTGTGCCAGGCTTCTGTACATGGGTGTTACACAGCTCTGGGAGGCTGGCACTGTCATTGTCCCCATTGTATGGATAGTGAGATGGAATGAATGCTGGGATGGCAGAATGAATGACTGGTGTGCACCAAAGACACGATGGAAAAGAGGCTGAAATCTGGCGCTCCACACTCTGACCCCTGGCAGTCCATGGGCAGGTCAGGCTGGGCTGCCAAAGGGAAGAAGCCAAGGACGTGCATCAGGGCCTGGAGGAGGGGCCAGGCCTGTGGCCTTGGGAGCTCAGAGCTCGCTTCCTGCTGCCAGGTCTTTTGCTTCCCAGTGCTCTGAGAACTGGATTCCAAGGCTCGGGATGGCCTGATGCCTGGTGGCTCTAAGCACAGGTTCTGGAGGCAGCCCGTTTGAAGCCGTTCCCCTACGCCGGGGCTGTGGGACCCTGGCAAGCCACCTCCCCTCTCTGGGCCTCAGTGTTCCTCATCTGTAAACACAGGAGGACAACAGCGCCTGCTGGAGGACTGGGTCACACCTGGCCTACCATGAGCAGGGCTGGCACACAGAAGGCACCTGGCAGATGGTAGCGGGCACTGTGCTGATGGCTACTCCACCCCCACCTCCACCTGTGGGGACTCACCATGCTGGGAGATCCGGGCGTGGGGTGGCCCAACAGGGGTTGGGGGTCCAGGGGGGCCAGGAGGCCCTGGTGGCCCAGGAGGTCCCCTCTCTCCAGGGGTGCCCACAGCTCCAGCCCGGCCAGGGCTCCCTGGGGGGCCCTGTGGACCTGCAATGGAATCACAGGGATTTATGGGTATACAGGAGGCAGGGAAGCCTAGGGTGGCCTTAAGCGACAGGACAAGGCAGCCTGGAGCGGTGGGCATGAGAGAGGGCCCCACAGTCCATAGACCTAGGCTCCCTGGTTGTCTAACAGGGGGATGAGCACAGCACCCAGTCCTCCACCTCATCCAGGCTGGGTCTTCCTTCCTTGGGGCTCCCAAACCCCCAAAGTCCCTCATAGAAACCCTGGTCACATGGGGCAAGCATTGCTGCTTCTCCTCTGCCCAGCCCTGCTCCCAGCAGTCTGGAAGCTCCAGAAGGGCAGGGACATGTCTGACCCCACCCAGTGCCCAGCCCAGAGCCTGCTAAGTGTAGGTGCCCAGGGAATGTGAGTCGAGTGAACGTAAGAGAGGATTTCATGGAGCCCAGGTGTGAGCGGGGCACTCCCTGGCGGGGTGTTGAGTGAAGAGGCAAGCAGATGAAAGGGCCCAGGCCATCCTGGCCATGTCAGGAGGGGGGAAGGGCCCACCTGGTGGGGGGGTGGCCAGAGGAGCTGTGGAGCAACGTTGCGGGCACTCACCTGGTGGGCCTCTCATCCCCATTGGGCCCCGGCTGCCGGCATCTCCCTTGGGGCCGGTGGGCCCGGGCAGCCCCCGAGCACCGACTTGGTCTGGGGGGTAAAGCATATCAGACTGGCAGCTCCAAATCTGCTCTTGACCCCTACCCTGGCCCCAGCCCCCCTACCAGCACCTACCATTTCGGGGAAGCAGCGGGACCCTCACACTCTCTATGGCTCCTGGCAGTCCTGGGGTAGGGGGGTAGGCAGAGGTCAGTGTCCCCGCTGGGCCTGGAGGAGGGAGGCTCATCCAGAATCCCCACTCCCAGCTCCCCCCGACCTCTAGGCAGGGTCTGCTGGGGCTGCTTGGTCTCCAGGGACTGCAGGTTTCAGGAGTCCCAGGAGACGGTCCTCTTAGGCGGGTCTAAGAAACGGGAAATGGGAAGACTGAGGCCCACTAGAGGGTTAAGTTGGGAGTCAGTGACAGGGTGGGGACCAGAATCCCACTTCCCCAATTCCCAACCCACTGCTCATTCCCACAGGCAAGTCTGAGTCTGCCACTCACCTGGGAGGCCTCCATCTCCGGGGCTGCCCTGGGCAGGAGGAGGGCCCCAGAGTGGGGCAGGGTCCTCAGGGGTAGCTGGTGTTGGAGGCGCTGGCTGCTCTATGACAGTCAGCATGGCCACCTGAAGAGGAAGACAGGGACGGGGTGGGTACTAGGGTCTCACTAGGACCCCTCCCTATTTTTTTTTGAGATGGAGTTTTGCTCTGTTGCCCAGGCTAGAATGCAGTGGTACCATCACAGCTCATGCAGCCTCAACCACCTGGGCTTAAGCGATCCTTCTGCCTCAGCCTTCCAAGTAGCTGGGACCACAGGGACGCACCACCACACATGGCAAATTAAAAAAAAAAAAATTATTTGTAGAGACAAGGTCTCGCTGTGTTGCCCAGGCTGGTCTTGAACTCCTGGGCTCAAGCGATCATCTTGCCTCAGCCTCCCAAAGTGTTGGGATTACAGGCATGAGGCAAGGTCTCACTAGGGACAGGCCAGCCAAGGGGTCTGGTGTGGGAGGCAGGAGGCACATAGCCAGCAGGGCCCAGCTTGGAGTGGAGCCCCAGGCTCGCAGGGGCACAGAGCTTCATTAGAAGTGACAGTGTTTTTCAAAGCACACGATTCATAACACGCATTATGGAAAAGTCATTGACACCATCATTGCCATCCAAGTTGAGCTTTGTGACTGTCACGGTGCTTGCTGGGCCATGCGCTTTTTTTCTATGCTTATCTACAAATAAGAAGCTTTTCTTGATTTGTTAAAGCACCAGAGAGTATGGCTGGAAGAGTTTCATTAATATTTTTTTTTTCCAAGATGGAGAGTCGTGCTCTGTTGCCCAGGCTAGAGTGCAGTGGCGCGATCTCGGCTCACTGCAACCTCTGCCTCCTGGGTTCAAGTGATTCTCCTTCCTCAGCCTCCCAAGTAGCTGGGATTACAGTCGTGCGCCACCATACCTGGCTAATTTTTGTATTTTTAGTAGAGATGGGGTTTTACCATGTTGGCCAGGCTGGTCTCAAACTCCTGACCTGAAGTGATCTGCTTATCTCGGCCTCCCAAAGTGTTGGGATTACAGGCATGAGCCACCATTCCTGGCCTTTCACTAAATTTGGAAGGAAGTTTGGAAGAGTCGACATGAAATAGAAACCTGGAGGTGTACACAAAGTCCACTTTTGGGTCCACAGTGAGGAAGACTCCGGGAAGCTAGAGGTGTCCCCTCAGCTGCTGAGGACCAAAGAGAGCCAGATGACCATAGACCAGGGGCTTGGGGATCGTGGGGGCCTGTCCAGAGAAAAGCTGAAACTCTTCAGCAGACCCTGAACCAGGAATTCCCATCACAGATGTGGGACTGAGTTGCCTCTTACGTGGGCTTCTCCTGGGAGAGAGCTCAGGGAACTGCTCCTGGAACCCCGTGCGTTGTAACTCAGGGGCCAGCACATGCTATTTGGAAGCTTGGTTTTCCCACTGGATAAATCAGGGGCATCTTCTTTTTTTTAATTTTAGAGACAGGGTCTAGCTCTGCCGTCCAGGCTAGAGTGCAGTGGTGCTATCACGGCTCACTGCAGCCTTGCCCGCCTGAGCTCAAGTGATCCTCCTGCCTCAGCCTCTTGAGCAGCTGGGATTGTGTGCCAGCTGTGTGCCACTAAGCCCAGCTAATTTTTTGTAGAGATGGAATCTTGCTATGATGCCCAGGCTGGTCTCGGGCTCCAGGCCTCAAGTAATTCTGCTGCCTTGGCCTTCCAAAGTGCTGGGATTACAGGTGTGAGCCACCAAGCCCAGGGTGGAGTGCAGTGGTGCAATCTCAGCTCACTGCAACCTCTGCCTCCTGGGTTCAAGCAATTCTCTGCCTCAGTCTCCCATGTAGCTGGGATTAGAGATACCTGCCACCACGACCGGCTATTTTTTTTTTTTTTTTTTTTTTGAGATAGAGTTTCGTTCTTGTTGCCCAGGCGGGAGTGCAATGGCACGATCTAAGCTCACTGCAACCTCTGCCTCCTGGGTTCAAGCAATTCTCCTGCCTCAGTCTCCCGAGTAGCTGGGATTACAGGCATGCGCCACCATGCCCAGCTAATTTTTGTATTTTTCGTAGAGACAGGGTTTCTCCATGTTGGTCAGGCTGGTCTCGAACTCCTGACCTCAGGTGATCCATCCCCCTCAGCCTCCCAAAGTGCTGGGATTACAGGCATGAGCCACCTCACCTGGCCCTGGTTAATTTTTTGTATTTTTAGTAAAGCCAAGGTTTCACCATCTTAGCCAGGCTGGTCTTGAACTCCTGACCTTGTGATCCACCCGGCTCAGCCTCCCAAATGCTGAGATTACAGGGTTGAGCCACTGCGCCCAGCCTAATTTTTTTTTTTTTCTTTTTTTTGAGACAGAGTCTCGTTCTGTTGCCCAGGCTGGAATACAGTGGCATGATCTTGGCTCACTACAACCTCCGCCTCCCAGGTTCAAGTGATCCTCATGCCTCAGCCTCCTTTGTAGCCGGGATTATGGGCGTGTGCCACCATGCCAGGCTAATTTTTGTATTTTTAAAAGAGACAGGGTTATGCCATGTTGGCCAGGCTGGTCTCGAACTCTTGGCCTCAAGCAATCCACCTGCCTCGGCCTCCCAAAGTGTGGAGATTACAGGTGTGAGCCACTGCACCAAGCTGTACTTTTTAATTAAAAAAAAAAAAAAAAAGTTTTATGGCAGCGCAGTGGCTCACACCTGTAATCCCAGTAATCCCAGCACCTTGGGAGGCCAAGACAGCGAATTGCTTGAGCTTAGAAGTTCAAGACCAGCCTGGGCAACTTGGAGAAACCCCATCTCTACCAAAAATTAAAAAATTAGCTGGATGTGGTGGTGTTCACCTATGGTCCCAGCTACTCAGGAGGCTGAGGTGGGAGGATTGCTTGAGCCCAGGAGGCATAGGTTGCAGTGAGCTGAGATCTCGCCACTGCACTCCAGCCTGGGAAACACAGGAAGACCCTGTTTCAAACAAAACCAGACGAAACAAAGAATACAAAACATTTTATCTTGAAATAATTTGAGATGCGTGATAGATGTTTTGTTTTTGAAACCAGGAAGATTGTATTATGGATGGGGGTTGGGGGGATAGAGAAAGGGTATGGGGCAGGGGCAGCCAGGAGATCCCACCAGGATCTCTGGGCAGTGTCTTTGCTGATCTGGCTGGGATGGTAATGGAGCCCCATGGGAGGGAGCTCACAGGCCTCCTGGAGGAAGAACAGGCCAGGCTGGCTGTGACTTGCACTTCACATATACAGTCTTCACTGAGTGGATGCTAGTGTCCCCTCCGCTTTACAGAAGGAGAAACTGAGGCACAACCTGTGAGCAGGCTTCCAAGGGAGGGACACTAGAGGAAACCAGGACATGCCTGACAGGGGATGCTGCTCGCTAAGTCAGCTCAGAGCTGCCCTGTGGGTTCGCTGAGGGTGCAAGCATGGGGTGTGGGGAAGGAGGAGGGGAGGGTGGGATGGTGGTTGCACGGACTGGCCTGGGGCAGGGGGCAACCACCCAGGAGAGAGCTGCTCACCCACCTTGGCCTCCAGCATCTTCAGCCGCTCTGTCAGCTCTGATACTTTACTGCAGTTGAGACAACCTGCGGGGAGGAAGGAAGCTGGGGCCAGGGCCGAGGGTCCTAGGCTCCCCCTCAGAGCCCTTCAGTCTCTGGGAGGTGGGATGCAGGGAAGGATCAGATATCTGATGACTCCAACCCATGAGGGAGCCTTAGGCTGGGGAGGGGCTACAGGATCATGGTGGATCCAGGGGGACCTCACCCTATGAGTTCTTTTTGGCGTTGGAGCCTCCAGAATGGCCTGCTTCTCCTGCAGCAGGACCAGGGACCCGACCCCTGGCAGCCTGTGTGTCCAAAATGACCTCTTTCCCAGAAGCCAAGGAAATGGCAATGAGGTGGGGGCCATGGATGAGGCTGAGGGCTTCCCCAACGACCCCAACCAGGCTCATGGGCTAAGAGTTTAGAGCTCAGACAAGCCTGGGTCTGAGCCTTGACACTGTCCTGCGTGACTTGTCCTCTCTGGAAAGATCCTGTTGCTTCCCGCCTGGGCAGGGCTGGGGCCAGGGCTTACCAGCTTTGGGGACCTACCCAGTGCAGTCTGGACTGGGCTGGCCTCAAAGGTGCCATCCTCTGAGCCTCCCCCGACCCACCATCCAGCACCCCCCGGTCTCCTGGGTGAGACTCTCGAGAATGACGTGAGTCATTCACAGCAGCTCTGGACATTTACGGAGCCTCCCAGCTGCTGGCCCTGCCGAGTGCTGTGCCAGCAGTCTCTCCCCTCCTCACAGGAGTGTCACCCCCATTCACACCTGAGGACACGGCTCAGAGCAGGGAGGGGTGAGTGCCTAACTAGCACATCTGGGGTCTAGTCCTGGTGCTGCCCCGACTCCCAGCTGTGGGGCCTGGAGCAGGGCAGGGCAGGGAGGTCAGAGACCTTCAGCTTCCTCCTCTTTAAAAAGGGGACAATGGGAGGGCAGTGGACAGCTGTGAGGTCTAAATGAGCTGCTGATGGGAAGTGCCTGGCACAGGGCCTTGCACACTGCTGACATTCAGAAAAGTGCTGATTACACAAAAAGAGGAAACAGGGGGATTGAACCGGCGTCTGCAAGAGTCCAGGGGTCATGGGTCCAGGTGTCTGGACCCAGGTCAGATGCCCCTCTGGGGTCCTTTCTGTGCCCCTCAAAGCAACTTTTGTAGCCTGGGGAGCGCGGGGTGGGGAGACGGTTACTGTCCTTGACCCTCCACTGCCAGACCTGCTGGCTTTTAGGACAGTTACTAAACTGCCCTGAGCCCGCTCCAGAGCTCCCTCAGCCCAGGGGACCCCAAGAAGCTACCCCAGGACCCACCTGAGACGGCTGTGGGCCGAAGTGCCATCCGCCGCATGGTATTGCCCGACCACATGGGCTCCAAGGAGCCAGAGGAACCTGCAACTGAGGGATGGAGGGTGAGACCCTGCTGGGGTATGATCCTTGCCCCCTCAGGTCCCCCTGCCCACCACTGCAGCCCCAGAAGGGATCCCTACTCCCCTCAGCACAGGACACAGAGGCCCAGAGAAGGAGAGTCCATGTATCTGGGTCACACAGCATGAATTGGGCTGAGCTAGAGCAAGGCTGGCCACCTGATAGGGCTGGGAAGAGCGGCTGGCAATGGGGCGGGGGCCATGGATGAGGCTGAGGACTTCCCCAACGACCCCAACCCCAGCCAGCCTGATGGGCTAAGAGTTTAGAGCTCAGACAAGCCTGGGTCCGAGCCCTGACACTTACTGTCCTGCATGACTTGTCCTCTCTGGACTTATTTTCCCATATGTAAAATGGGATTCTAAGGCCTCTAAATTTCCCAGGCTGAGGTGAGGCCTGAGGTCAGCCATGAATGCAAAGGGCCCACTGTGCACACACAGTGACCGGCACACACAGTAGGTGCTCAATAAACGGCCGCCGTGACTGTTGCCATCCACACTTTCACTGCCTGGCTTGGTTAAGAGGAGACTGAAGCGGATCCAGCCCTGGTTTTAAATGAAAACCAGAGGGAGGCTGGCTGTCTGGGAGGGCAAGGGGAGCCAGTTCCAGGGCCAACCCCTGCTGCCACCCCTCCCAAGGAGGACCCCCCCGCACCCGCCCCAGCCATCCTGGCTGGTCTGGCTTTGGGGGACTGGTTTTCTCCACAGCTGGAGGGATGGACTGGCCAAACCAGGGGCGGGGGCACAGCTGGAGAGGCTGTGGAGCCAGCACTGGCAACTGCCCCCCTCAGCCCCCCAGGCGTTCCTTTTAAGGCCACGAAATGTTGTCTGGGGGGAGACAAGACCCAAATAAGGCATGGGCCTGGCAGCTCAGAGCAGGGCTGTGGGTTGATGCAGGGAGCGAGAGGCGCCGGGAACTCAAACCAGACGAGTCCCTCTGGCCAGCCCCCAGTGGAGGCTGCCAGGCCCTGCTCTGGGTCCCACTGTGGGGCCTCCACTCGTGCTGAGCCTGCATCCCCAGCACACCCTCCTCAAGGGCCTGTGACTTGCCCAGGCACAGGGGGCTAATCTCACCCAGGATGGAGGAAGATGGGTTGCCAGCCCAGGACTGGGGCCGGCACTGGGGACTCCCTGGGGAGGGGAGACATCACTGTGAACCATGCCCATGTGAAGGACCTTGTATAGCTTGGCTCAATCCTACAAGGAAGGTGATAATCAGAACAGACAACTCTTGTTTAGCATGTACCCTGGGCCTAGTACCTTCTAAGCACTTCACATACATAGTCTTAACTGTGAGTGGGTGCTAGTACCACCTCCACTTTCCAGGTGGGGAAACTGAGGCACAGAGCAGCTCTGTGCTACCTCTTCTCTGTTGCCCATGCTCAGATAAAGGTGGATGAGTAAATGACACTCAACTCCACTTCCCCACTTGGAAGAAATGAGGCAGAGAAGAGAGGCGACTCGCCATCGGTTGTCTGCGGGACGGTCCCAAGCCTGGATTTGAACACAGGTCGGCCTGATTCCAGGGCCAGATTTCTTTTTTTGGTTGGTGGAGGTGCAGGGGCACCCGGCAGAGAGGCTCAATGTTCAGCAGGAGTGCTGGTGCCTGAGAAAAATGGCCTCACCAAGCGCTCTTCATTCTTTCTGCTTCCAGGTAGAGATGTGATGTCATTTTAGTACTCTTTTCGGGAAGTTGACCAAAAGAAGCGGCCATCTCTCGCAACGTGGGGATGTTTGAGTTTCCTCTGTGATGCAGCTTCAGCTGCTCTCCCCATCCGCTTCTGCCCTCCTCTCTATTCTGCTGTTGTTTTCTTTTTTCTTTTTTTCCATTGCATTATCTACCTTCTAGCGTGTTCCAGTTTCCCAGGCCACTGCCTGTCCTCTGGCCTCCTGGCTGGAACATCAGCCCCACTAGGGCAGGGACCTTGTCTGTCTTGTGCTCGGCCTACAAAAGTGCCCAGCACCCAGTAGGATCTCATGGGCTTCATGTATAAAACTTTTTTTTTGTTTTAAGACGGAGTCTCACTCTGTCACCCAGGCTGGAGTACAGTGGTGCAATCTTGACTCACTACAACCTCCACCTCCCAGGTTCAAGCGATTCTCCTGCTTCAGCCTCTGGAGTAGCTGGGACAACAGGAGCGTGCCACCATGCCCAGCTAATTTTTGGTATTTTTAGTAGAGATGGAATTTCACCATATTAGCCAGGATGGTCTCCATCTCCTGACCTAGTGATCCACCTGCCTCGGCCTCCCAAAGTGCTGGGATTATAGGTGTGAGCCTCCGAGACCGGCCATTTATAAAACTTTTGTTGATGAATACATGAATCACCAACTGAAAATAAATTTCGATCAAGCAAACCAAATATAAGGCAGACATAACTGTCTTGAACGTCAACATAGGCCGGGCACAGTGGCTCACGCCTGTAATCCCAGCACTTTGGGAAGCCGAGGCAGGTGGATGACCTGAGGTCAGGAGTTCGAGACCAGCCTGGCCAACATGGTGGAACCCTGTCTCTATTAAAAATACAAAAATTAGCTGGGGGTGGTGGTATGTGCCTGTAATCCCAGCTACTTGGGAGGTTGAGGCAGGAGAATCGCTTGAACCCGGGAACGGAGGTTGCAGTGAGCTGAAAATGCACCACTGTACTCCAGCCTGGGTGACAAAGTAAGACTCCTCAAAAAAAAAAAAAAAAAAAGTCAGCATAAATGGGCCAGGTGCAGGGGCTCACACCTGTAATCCCAGCACTTTGGGAGGCTGAAGTGGGCAGATTGCTTGAGCCCAGGAGTTTGAGACCAGCCTGGGTAATACGGCAAAATCCTGTCTCTACAAAAAATTTAAAAATTAGCTGGGTATGGTGGCACATGCCTGTAGTCCCAGCTACTTGGGAGACTGATACGGGAGGATAGCTTGAACTTGGAAGGTCAAGGTTGCAGTGAGCTGTGATCGTACCACACTGAAAGAGTGAGACCCTATCTAAAAAAAAATGAAATCTGCATAAATGTTTTAATGTCATACTAGAGTGTCCCTGAGTTATTAATCTGTAAACTAGTGGTTGGAAATTCTTTTTCAACCAGTTTGTTTTCGATGTTTCTCCAGGGGCCAGAAAGAATGAGAAAAACAAATAAAAATGTGGTCTGACAGCAGCACAGACATCAAATGCTCAAAGTAATTGCAAATTTAAATTAAAAAAAGAAAAGAGTTTAAAGAAATAACAAAACTGTTCAAAAGACCAGAAAATTTTGGGTTTGGATTCAAGATTCACAAAAAGTTATCCAAAAACTCCCCCAAAATTCTGAGAAATGGACAGAAACATTTTAAGGGATATAGCAGGTTGTAAAATGACCCTGTAGCACACAAAATTCCAGTAAGGAAGAAGCCACAGGTTGTGGGGAGATCTGCTGTTGGACAAAAATGTCATATCCCGGCCAGGCGCGGTGGTTCATGCCTGTAATCCCAGCACTTTGAGAGGCCGAGGTGGGCAGATCAAGAGGTCAGGAGATCGAGACCCTCCTGGCTAACACAGTGAAACCCCGTCTCTACTAAAAATACAAAAAATTAGCCGGGCCTGGTGGCTGATGCCTGAAGCCCCAGCTACTCAGCAGGCTGAGGCAGGAGAATGGCGTGAACCCGGGAGGCGGAGCTTGCAGTGAGCCGAGATCGCGCCACTGCACTCCAGCCTGGGCGACAGAGTGAGACTCCTTCTAAACAAAACAAAACAAAACAAAACAAAACAAATGTCATATCCCTCCCACGGGTGTTTGGTCAAAGGCCCTGAAACAGGCCCCTGTGAGCTGAGACCCTCCTCATCTCAGCCTGGTGGTCCTTACTGAAGGGCTCCTCCCTAGCCTCAACCTTGTCCTCCCAGGGAGGCCCTGAAGGCTGGTCCCAGGACCACAAACCCCAGCTCCACTTTGGGAACCTGACTGTGGGCCACTTCCCACCATCTGGGAGGTCCTCACATGCCCTATACACATACATACACACACACACATGCACGTTCCTACCCCATGCCCTCTCCTAATCTCTACAGCTGCTGCACCCATGTCACCTCCTCCAGGAAGCCTTCCCAAACAGGCCAGTGCGCCTACCAGTGTCAAAGCCCCCTCGAAGCTCATCACTCCCTGTCTTGACCTCCACATGGTCAGCGCTGTCTGTAGTTTCTAGCCCTGGGCCCCATAAGCAGCTCTTCTTCCCTCTGCCCAGTGCCAGGCCTGAGCTAAGAAGCTTTGTGTCCCTTCTCGGGACCCTCACGACACCTCACGATATAGAACACTGAGGCCCAGAGAGGAGAGGCTTCCGCTCTGTCCTTGCAGTGGGACAAGGGGGTCTGGGATTCCAATCTTGCCCTAAATTGGGGATTAGGGATGTGAAAAGTTGGGGATTAGGGGTATGAAAATCTGGGGGTATCCCTGGGATCCACCTTCATGACTTTCTCTCCCTGGACAGAAGCCAAAGGAACGGCTTCCTCATTCACAACCGACCCCCCAGATCTGCTCTGCTCGGTTTAGCAACCACAGGCCATAGGGAGGCAGCCTTCCCAGCCCCAGCCCAGGTCTCCTGCAAGGAATTTACTTTGCAAATGTAAATATTTGCTTCTGGTGGCCAGAGCCAGGGGTTAGGGTCAGAGCTGGGGCTGGGAGCTCCAAGAACCCTCCAGCTCAATCAGGAGCCTCCGGGAAGGCTTAGTCTATGTCCGGCCTGGCCGCCTCTTCAGGACAGGCAAAGGTCCTATTCAATTCCTGTGCACTCACTTTATATGTGGCCCATGCCAGGCACTGGGGATGTGGGAGTAACGGTGGCAGGATGGGGGTCAACCTAGCCAGGTGGGAGCACCCAGAGGGCTGCAGGCAGAGCAGTGACTTGCCGGCCACTGCCAAGGCCATGTATGAGAGACAAAGCCGGTGTGGGCAGGGGGTTCAAACAGAGGGAGGATGAGGTTCAGGGGATCCAGGCAGGGGCTGAGAGAGTGGAGGAGGCAGCCACACAGTCGGCTGGGCATGCAGGCTGGGCTGGCAGGAGGTGGGGGTTGCCGGGACTCCCAGGAGTGGGGGTGGCTGGGTGGTGGATGTGGGTGGATTTGCAGTGGTTAGCCCTTGGATTCTGAATCTGCAAAGTAAAGCTCAGACTTAGCACCATACCTGGAGCCTGGTTACGATGAAAGAGATGAGTGTGGAGCGTGCCCAGCCCTGGATGGTAGAAGAGACCAAGGAGCCCAGGAAGGGCCTGGGCTAGAACCTCAGTCTGTTTGTAGGCTATTTTAAAATTTTATATTTAGAGGCAGGATCTTGCTCTGTCACCTAAGTTGGAGTGCAGTGGCAGGATCACAGCTCACTGCAGACCTGAACTCCTGGGCCCAAGCAATCCTCCTGTCTCAGCCTCCTGAGTAGCCAGGACTACAGGTGTGCACCACCATGCCCAGCTAATTTTTAAATTTTTTTTTTAGATAGGGTCTTGCTATGTTGCCCAGGCTAGTCTTGAATTCCTGGCCTCAAGCAATCCTCCCAAAGTGCCTTGGCCTCCCAAAGTGCTCAGATTACAGGTGTGAGCCACCGTGCCTGGCCCATTTTTAGGCTATTTTGTGGTCAACCTCGGGCAAGTGTCCCCTCTCTGGCTCCTCTTCCTGGGAGACAGGGCTGTGAATAACCATGGATGGGGAAAAAATATGTATGCTGGGGACAATGGGACCGATGATGGGGAAGCAGAGGCAGTCCAGCTCCATGGGGTCCATAGGGAGGGGAGGGGAGGGAGCCCCAGCCTCTCTATCTTTCTATCTGGGAGAAGCTGGGGCTGAGACTGGCTTCCGCCAGCCTCACAGCATCCCAGCTTTCTGAAGAGGCTCCCAGGGACATCCTCAGCCAGCACTCTGCAGGGGAAAGACCCCTGGCTGCAGTCAGACTGACCAGGTTTGAGCCCGGCTCCTCAGCTCACAGACTGCTCCCCTGGACAAGGCATTCCCCTCTCTGAGCCTCAGTTTCTGCATCTGGGCCTTCTGTACCATGATGTGATGGCTCCTGTGGCGGGGGTGGGGGGGTATGCCTTGCAGCGCCCAGCACGGAGCAGCTTTCCTTCCCTTTGTCCTGATTATTGCAGGAGGGTCTGGGGCAGGGGCATGCCACAGAACTCAGGTCGGCACCCTGGGGAAAAACCTGGCCACAATACTTGTTTGCTGTGTGACCTTATGTGAGACCCACACCCTCTCTGAGCTTCACTTTCATCATCCGGACAGCGGGGCTGATCTGTCTGCAGGAAGCCTCAAGAGGCAGGGTGTCATGGGGGTTACTGCAGCAGCCCCACTGTCAGCAGAGTCCACCAGCCCAGGTACTCAGGGGGTCAGGCCCAGGCCCAGAAAAGCTGATTGTGGGGCTCAGCCCGCCCTCCTGACATGGCCCTGGCATTGCGCCCACCCCTGCCTGGCCCACTTGGTGCATTCTGGCCTTGGTTCTTCCTCACCCATTGTTTCTGATAAGCCCTATTGTTTCTGATGAAAGGGGGCCAGGTGATAGCCTCCGCCAGCCCCACCTCCTGAGGCCTGGGGGCACAGAAGCTTGCTCAGACAGGTCCCGATCCCGGCTCTCACCCGCTGAGTAACCTCGGGCCAGTCCCATCACCTCTCTGAGCCTCAGTTTCTCCATCTGTAAAATGGAGCCCATTCTAGCCCCTTCTCCACAGGTTGCCATGGACATCAAATGAGACAATCCTCATTTGTCACAAAGTGAACATCCCCATTCTGCAGAAAACCAGGGCCCAGCGCTGTGAAGTCCTTCACTAGAGCCCACCAACCTCACAGAGACTCAAGGTCCGTTTCTTGACTGTGAAGTGGGGTCTCAGAGGCAGGAGGCCATGGAATCCTCAGCATGGGGTGGGTGGTGGGGGCGCAGGATGGGAGCAGAAGACATTTGTGGAGCATCTACCATGAGCCAATCATGAGTGCTACTTCTTCATGCTGGGTGACTTCCAGATAAAGCCAAAGTTCAGAGAGGAGAAGGGACTTGCCCCAAGTCACACAGCAGAGTGCAGCTGATTTAGGGCTGGATTCCGGAATGGCAGGTGTTCCCTCTCCTCCTTTGGCCCACTGCAGGCTGCCCTGGGCCCTGTTCGCCCTTGTGATGCACCTCTATGGCTCCAGGGTCAAGAGACAGCGCTAGGCAGGTGACAAGAGTGGGCACCAGCACGAGAAGCAGCCGGGGAGCCCAGCCTGAACTCAACTGTGGGAGGAAGGGCAGAGACCAGGGTCCCCTGGCAATGTTCCTGTGCCTCCCTGCTCCCCATTCCCAGGACCCCAGCAGAGTTTTCTGGAATAGTGGAAGCATCCACTCACCCACCTCCCTTTCCTCCACAGTCTCCAACATTTCATCCCAGCAATACCCAGGGAGGCAGACTCTTATCATCCTGACCACTTCCCAGGCGAGGACACTGAGGCTGAACGTGGGGGAGCCCGGGCTGCTGCGGGCACACACAGCAGCTTGGTGCCTTTTAGTGATGGTGCCTTTCCCTCCGAGTGGGCAGGAGAAGAATGCCTCCTGGAGTGCAGCGCCCCCAAGCCCAGGGCCCTTGCACAATGACTTGCACAAGGCACGGGAAGTCCCCGGCCCAAGGCCATGCAGCTGGTGTGCGGCAAAGCTGGCAAAGCTGGCCCGGCCCAGGAAGCCTCAGGTATCCCATACCCACGCTGGGACCTGAAGGCCCCACAGAGGGAGCTGGCCTGGCTCCATTGCCTGGCTCATGCCCCTGCCTTAGCATCAGCAGAGCCCCCAGCCCTTGGCCTAGCTCCTGGAGTCACGGCCTCTTGCAGCTAGATTCAAGGGCATGGGTGCTGTCCCCACCTGTCCTCTCCCTCACCTGCTCCTTGAAAGCCCCAGAGACCAGGAAGGTCTGCCCTTGGGAGGGGAGCCAGGGACAGAATGGCCTTTGTCTGGGGAGGCCCTGCCTGGGCCCAGGCGGCCCCCATGCCCCGGGGATTCGGCCCTCCCCTCCACGGCTCCTCTGTGATCTCCTTGGCAGCCGCCCCTCCTGGCTGGCCCTCCTGCCCCTCGGCCCCACCTGCCTTCCCCTCTCCCTCCCACCAGCGACAAGAGGGTGCTATTCCTGGCTCCCCTTCAAACGTCTGTCCACCGCTCCAGGCTCCCACATCGGCCCTGTGGCTGCCTCTCTGCAGGGGTGTTTGGCATGGGGTGTCTTGGCACACCCTCTAGCCACTCGGTTTCTCCCCGACTTCACTGGGTACTCCTCTACCCCATGTCAGAACCTGCCAGACCTCCCCCCACTGCGTGGTGAGTTTTGAACACCATCCTCATGGCTGTGTGCCTCTGGGCACTCCACTCCACCTCACTGGACCTCAGTCACCCTATCTGTGAACTGGGCTGTTGAGGGTCCCCGGGAGGTGAAGTGCGCAAATCTCCCAAGAAACACCTGTGAGCTATGGCTTCTGAAAGCACCATGTTCCTTCGAGTCAGAGGCTACATTTTCGCACATTTGTGTTTCTGGAATTGGGATATGTCCTGAGACTGACGTTCTCGTTCATGTGCTGCTTTGGGGACCGTGAATGCTTCTGTCCCTTGAGCTGTCTCTGAGCCTGGTTCTCAGGATGATTCTGGGCCAGCCCATCCTCTTTAGCGCCATGCTTGAAAACACAGCTCTTGGTGTTCAATAATCTGCTGCTCATGGGTTCAGCCAGGCAGTGAGGGTGGGAGGGGTCTGGGCTGCTCAGCAGTGGGGCAGGTGCCTGGAGGAGAGGAGAGGGTTCTGCAGGGGAGAGTATGGCCAGGTTCCTGGGAGGCCCAGGCTGCCTCCTCTGTGCCCCTGCAGGGTGCTCAGCCCCGAGCCACCCAGAGGTACACACAGTGAAGGCAGGTGGAGTGAGAGAAGTCCCTGAGCCTGGGACACGCTCCGCACACAAGGGGCCCAGCCAAGCCCTCGCATCCCTGGAGCCTGGGGAGCGGGTGGAGACTACAGCCTGGCAGACAGACAGAGGTGTGTGCCCCCCCCTTCCTGAGCTCAGTTTCCTCATCTGTAGGATAGGTAAAACCTTTCTTACCTCTCTGACCCATGAACTGACTAAAATGGTTCTCTGCTTCCCTGTAATGTCTGTTACCATGTCACACGGAAATGTCTGGATGGGCTTTCCCCAAGTGTGGAGGAAAGACTTAGGATGGCATGACTTAAAATGTGAGCTATGCAGCATGTATAAAATTCTTCTGGGGGTCCTGAGAGTCTCCCAAGAGGCAAGCGGTCACCGTGGGGGGCAGTGGTGGACAACAAGCACTGACTGTGTTTGAGCCGGGCTCTGTGCAGCTGGCCCCAGCAGGCACAGTACTGTGCATGACTCTCTAACAGTTCATGGCTCCATGCACCTGCAGGGAGGCACCTGGCCTGCTGTCGCGGGGCTCTGGGAGCCAGCCGGGCAGTCCTACCTTCCTCGCAGCTCATTCCCGAGTGCCCAGGGCAGCACCTCCACTCACGGGCAGTCACTGTCTTGTACATCACCTTGTATGTGGGTCTCACCACAGTTCTGTAGCTGAAAGAGTCCCCAGGTGGCCCAGCTGAGACAGGGTCCTCCACGACCTCTCCCACTGCCCTGAATACCCATGGGAACAAACCCAGAACCCCCAGGATCCTCTGCTGCCTCCAACTCCCTTTGGAGGCTCTCTCCTCCTGCATTTTGGGATTCAGCCTTTCCATTCCCCCACCACCTTGCCACAGGGATCAGAGATTGGATACCAGCTGGACAGGAAGACCCTGCAGGTTGGGCTGGCCTGAGCCCAGCAGTGAATACTCACTGAGTAAAGGAATGCAAGCAATGGTGTATCCCTCCCCCAGGAAGCCCTCCAGCGTGCTTCAACAGCACAGGGGATAGGCTGAGAATGGTGTCAGCTGATGCTACCTTTGCTCCACCCACCCTGGGGTCCAGTCTTCCCCTACACTCCCCATGGAGTCCCCCCACCAGGCCTTTGCCCAAACTGTGCCTCCACCTAGAATGCCATCAGCTCCTTCTCCACCTCATTTACCTGCTCCCCGGACAGCTCATGGGCCAGGGGCAGTTCTGCAGCACTCGCTGAAGGTAGGTGCCATTCTGCACATGGCATGAGATGGTGCGGGTCACCACATAGGAGCACCAGTTCCTGAAACAGACCCAAAGAGAGGATACTCAGGTACCATGCAGGGTCCCCTGCCGGGGACTCTGGGAGGATGGGTGAGGATGTCCGTGTTCTCTTCAAGAGCCCTGAATCCCCAGGCAGAGAGACCCCTTGAGCTTGCAAAGTCATTTGGGCCCAAATGGCTGGTGGGAGTCTCTGCGGCTGAGGGGTGGATGTCATGGCCCTGGGGGTGGGGCCGTGCTGAGCACTCCTGGTAGGTCTTGAGGAATGAACGGCAGGGGAAAGATGGAAGCGGGCCATCTTCCCCTGAGCTCTCCCTCCCCAGCTTCTCTCCTCTCCAACTTTGACCCATCCAGGCCACTATCACTGCCTGGCTCTTGCCTGGACAACTGCAGAGAGTGGCCTCTCCATCTGCTCCTCGGTCCCTCCCTAGAGGGAATGTCACAGAATGGACACCTGCCTACATCCTTGCCTTGCCTACCCAACTCCCCAGCCCTCAGGATTTCCTGTGCCCACACCTGCCACAGGCCTTTGCTGGTGCTGGGCCCTCTGCCTGCTTCTCCCTGTGGCACTTCCTACCTTCAAAGCCCGGATGTGACGTGGCCTATTCCTTCCATCCTTTCCCATTTCCACCCTGCCCTGAGCAATTCCAGTGGTGCCCTGCCCTGGCTCCCGCAGCATCTGCACACCTGTCACGCTGAATTAAGCCGCCAATTCGTGCCTGCCCACTCCGCCAGCATGCAAGAGGAGAGGCCCTGTCTCACTCATCCCCATGTCCCCATTGTGGGACAGCTGGGTTGTGTAATCAATGCCCCAAGCCCAGAGGACTGACTTCTCCAAATACCAACTAATAATCAGAATGCACTGCACATATTGAGCACTTACTGTATGCTAAGGGTATTCACACGATCTTCTAATGGTGAGGGAGGAAGGTAGGAAGGTACCGCCACCCTATTTTTACAGAGGGGAAACTGAGGCTTGGGGAGGTGAAGACAACTGCTCATGTCACAGCTGGTGCATAGAGGAGCCAGATTTGAACCCAGCAACATGGATGGCCTAACCCAGCCTCTGACTCCATCCCAGAGTCTCAGCTTCCGTCTCCTCATCTCCTTGAGCCACGGTCTGTGGCTCTGTGAAGACCCTGGCCTGGGAACCTGCTGACCCCAGGCTTGAGGGCAGGAAGAAAGTCTGGGAGGGGTGGGGGACCCAGGCTGAGAAGGGTCACCTGAAACCTTCCCTCCTTCTCCAGCCCCTGCGAAAAGCACAGGGCCTGTGACCCTGTGCAGGGCTGAGGGCTGCTGAGCACCTGGAATGTCCCAGCCATCACAGAGATTCCCATGCCAAGCATAGTGCAGCCGCCGCTTGCTGCAGCCCTGCCCCCACCCCAGACAACCAGAAGGAGAAACTCCTGGGCCAGGACCAGGCAACTAACTCAATTTAGGGCCCTGTGGAATTCCCTTCATCTGTCTGTGCCACACCAGAATCAGTGCCGGAAGAGGAAACAACCTAGGTACAGCCCTGGAGGTGGGCTGGGAGAAGGGATGGTTCGGTTTGGCCCATGAAGCAGGAGAAGCTCCACAGAGCCCTCGGCCAGCCATCCCATGCAGATGTGACAGGTGCCTGCTGTGGCACCAACAGAAATGGCACAAAACTGGGAACAGCCTAAACAGCTATGGAGCCACCAGACACGGGAAACCAGATGCTGTAACAAAGCCTGAGGTCTCCACGTGCTGACCTGAGACCCAGTTATCACCCCTGGTTACAGGGAGAAAAAAAGCAAAGACCAATGGATATACAGTGATTGCATTTCTATTACATTAAGAGAGAGACAGAAAGTCAACTATTTATACATGCGGGCACATGTACAGATACGTGCATACAAAGTGAGAAAAAGATGACGCTCTTTTCTCAAACTGCCACCTCTGGGAGCAAGGAGGGCTTTCCATCTGCTGTCTCCTACACAAACCATAGCTATGTTTATCATGCTTGCTGCACGCCAGGAGCTGTGCCCAGAGCCTTCTACGTGTTAGCTCAGTTGATTCTCATACTCTATTAAAAAGCCACTTTAGGCCGGACACAGTGGCTCATGCCTGTAACCCCACCACTTTGGCAGGCCGAGACGGGTGGATCACCTGAGGTTAGGAGTTTGACCAGCCTGGGCAATATGGTGAAACCCTGTCTCTACTAAAAATATAAAAAATTAGCCGGGTGTGGTGGTGGGAGCCTGTAATCCCAGCTACTCAGGAGGCTGAGGCAGGAGAATTGCTTGAATCTGGGAGGCGGAGGTGGCAGTAAGCTGAGATCGTACCATTGCATTCCAGCCCAGGCAACAGAGCGAGACTCTGTCTCAAAACAAACAAACAAAAAAAACCCAGCCACTATACAGATGGGAAGACTGAGACCCTGGGGTCTAGGACTTGCCCCAGGAACCCACGATGGGCGACACAGTCAGGGTTGGAACTCAAGTCCCTCTGGCTCCAGAGCTCGCACTCTCAACCCCAGGCTACAAGTGTTTCTCCTAATGAGTAGGTGAAGATTTCAGCCCTTTTGGAGGCTGAGGCAAGGAGGATCGCTTGAGACCAAGAGTTCAAGACCAGCCTGGGCAACACGGTGAGAACCCCATCTCTATAAAAAATTTTTTTAAAACTAAAAAAAAGGTCGGGCGCAGTGGCTCATGCCTATAATCCCAGCACTTTGGCAGGCCAAGGCAGGTGGATCACTTGAAGATCAGGATTTCAGGACCAGCCTAGGCAACACGGCAAAACCCCGTCTCTACTAAAAATACAAAAGTTAGCTGGGCGTCGTAATGTGCACCTGTAATCTCAGCTACTTAGGAGGCTGAAGCAGGAGAATCGTTTGAACCCGGGAGGCAGAGGTTGCAGTGAGCCCAGATGGCACCACTGCACTCCAGCCTGGACGGCAGAGCGAGACTGTCTCAAAACAGAAAACCAACCAACAAACAAAAAAACCAGAGCTGTGGTTTTGAACCTGTTAGGGTTGAATATGGAGGGGGGGGCATAAGCCCCTTTAGAAAATTGCTATGAATCGTGGCTCCTCTCCAGAAATATGCATAAAACTTGGTGTATAGGTTAAGGGGATTCAGAGGCTCCTTGGAGCCTATGTGACACTCATTAGGCTGGCCCAGGGGCTTCACGAGTGAAAGAGGGAGGGAAGAAGAGGACAATCTGGGCAGAGGACAGTCGGAAGCTCTGGAGACAGGAAAGGGCCCCTGGACACAGAATGAATGCACTATGCCAGTGAGCAGACAATCGCAAGCACACAGTACCTGTGCACACAAATGCACGCACACACATGAACTCACAGGCACACAGGGGCAAATATGCATGCAATGAGCACGTGCACACAGACACACATGGGCATATGTACACACAATGCATGGACACACGCATGCTCATGCACACGCACACAGAGCCACACACAGATACATACACGCACACACATGTGCACATAAGGCAAATACGCACTGCAGTGAGCACGTGCACACAGACACACATAGGCATATGTATACACAATGCATGGACACACGGGTCTCCATGTGCACACACAGATCCACATAAACACACAGCTACATACCCGCACACAAACGCACACAGACAGGCTAAGGCAAATCCAGCAGGACATTTAATCACAGAAATGACCGTCCTCCCTGCACACAAATCCATACCTGCAGATACAGGGCTCTGTGCCCTCATACATTCACACACACACACACTCATCAGCTCTGTCACACGGACACAGACAGACCAAAGCAGGCCCAGAAGGGCACACAGTCACAGTCAAATCTCCTCCCTGCAAATGCGTTCACATTTGCACCCACACTGACACACCCGCACATGCACACACACACACGCATGCCGTCTCACATGGACGCAGATAGGCTGAAGTTGTGATCTCTGGACATGTCCACACAGGGCCCTGCAGTGCACATGTGGGCACACGTGTACACACACACATACACTCCTCTCACATGTACACAAACAGGTGAAGGCAGGCCCAGCAGGGCACTGTTGGCCATCTTACCACACATATCTATACAGGCACGCACAGAGCCATCTGCCCTCACACACACACGTGGACAACAGCCCTCACATGCCCTGTCCCCAGACTAGGCCAGGAGAGGTGGGCCTGTGATGGTCCACAATAGCCAGAGCTGTCCTTCTTTTTACCAGGGGGGAGCTAGAGAAAAAAAAAACAACAATATTTTTCCTGCTTCCTTAATTAAAATCTCCACCATTGGTGCGTGAGTGCAGTCACAGCTACTTTGGAGGCTGAGGTGAGAGGATCGCTTCAGCTCAGGAGTTTGAGGTTGCAATGAGCTATAATCATGCCACTGCACTACAGCCTGGGCAATAGAGTGACACATCATCTCTTAAAAAAAAATCTTGGCTGGGCGTAGTGGCTCACGCCTGTAATCCCAACACTTTGGGAGGCTGAGGCTGGTGGATCACCTGAGGTCGGGAGTTTGAGACCAGCCTGACCAACATGGAGAAACCCCGTCTCTACTGAAAATACAAAATTAGTCAGGCGTTGTGGCTCATGCCTGTAATCCCAGTTACTCGGGAGGCCGAGGCAGGAGAATCGCTTGAACCCAGGAGGCAGAGGTTGCAGTGAGCCGAGATCGTGCCATTGCACTCCAGCCTGGGCAACAGGAGTGAGACTCCATCTCAAAAAATAAAAAATAAAAAAAAAAACCATGTAGGTCCCTGCCTGGTTGCCACAATCTGGACTGTGCTTGAATCTTCTCTTTAGGAGACATGGAGCTGGTGGCCGGCTAGCCAGACCTTTTGGACAGGAGAGGACACTCATGCCAGGTGGAGTTCAAGTTCAGCCCCTTGCCCCCTCCACCTGGGGATCACTAATAACCACCCCATCCCCCAGCTTGAGGACCCCAGCCCCAGGACTCCTAGCATCAGCCTGAGCTCCTCCACAGGGTCCTAGCCTGGCCCTGCCACCCTCCTGCTCCCCTATCTACCTTCCAGAGGTAGCAGGAGGCTCTTTCTAAA